CACTTAAACCCTTTGGATACCTGTAATTGAACACCTACCCATTAATACTCGTGCGTCAGCTACGTGTGCTTTAATGGCTTTCTTCTGATGGTTGTTTCCTGTCTGTACTGTCTTTTTCCGCTCAGAAGAAGTTCTTATTTAAAAAGACTTGTCAATCGCGAAATTTGATAGTATAACTGAACCTTGTTTCGTACAATTCAGACAGCAATCGTGCTCGGCTTAATTTCAAATCGGCCTCACGCTTTTCGACCGATTTTGATATTACTGGCCCGATTACCTCCTGAATTTCTACTCCACTCGTTTAAATGACTATTACTAATAACAGAGTTCAATTGACAACTCATCGCGAAAAATTAATATCTTCAGTTTGCAGATCGGATCAGTGAAGGAACTTCCTTTCATATTAATTTTCCTGGAAAAATTCAGAAATGAATAAACAAAGAAGCAAAAGATAGAACTTTCTTGTAGTAACATTACCAGGCAAACTCATTACCTGTTAAGGTGTGGTTACTTGGAAACGTTCATTTGAGCTTCGACTAAGGCCCCCTCCACACGTATCCAGATATTTTTGAATCCGCAGCTTTTTTCTTTCCGCGTGATTCAAAAATTTTCCCGTCCACACGTAGCGTATTCAAATCGATTTCGCCTGCCCACACGTATCCGATGGTGCCCGGATTCACTCTAGACAAACTAGGCCTACACGTTGTGCCGCCATATTGGTTTATTGTTCGTTAAGAGACTGGACACGATTTTGTTACGTCATTGGATTCGCAAATATCCGGATTCACCGTCCACGCGTTATCGGATTCGTTGCGGATTTATTTTTTTCCACTCTGGAGAGCGGATTAAAAAATATCTGGATTCGCTGCCGAATTCGCCGGATGCGTGTGGACGGTAGCTGTATCCGGAAAAAAAAAAGTTGCGGATTCAAAAATATCCGGATACGTACGTTTGGACGGGGCCTAAGTTCGAAGTCCAAACTCCTAAAGTAATAAAAATGTTCGGCACGTGTTGCATGTGCATGCTTGAATACTCTGTAACGAGTCGAATGTGTAAGGGGGAACTGGCCTTGAGGGATTTTTCTAGAGATTTTTTTCAATAATATATTTATTATTCAAAATAGCAACATACTGGGACACCTTTGACTCTCCTAAAGCAGTGTTTTAAGAGTTAAAATATTAAGTATTACAATCTGAGGACTGTGTTTATTTATGTCTATTGCTCGTTTATTTACATGTCTTACATGCACACGTTCATGCAATGTACTGTCATTCTTATGATGCAATCAAAATTTTCATGAATTTGATGGTTAATTTTGTCTTACGAAATTCATAATGTCTATATATACAAATCGGAAAACCTAACTCCTCTAATTTTTTTACATGAACAGAAAAAAACATAGTTACTATGTTAATGTGTCTTTCTGCACACAAACGCGAACTTTTGTCAATCTTTCATCGTTAAACAATACAGCTGTTATGAAACTCAAGAAATGCCTTGACGCCGGGCTCCTTGACTCATCGCTTTTATCAAGTTCACTTTTGAATAAACACCGACTCATTCTCTTCCTCGTCCTCTTTTATAGACGTTGGAAATCTCAAATATCGACATTTCTTCATCTCAAGCACATGCTTGGAAAATGTCTTGTCCTGTACCGAGTTGTCGTCGTTGCTTTCCACGCTGGTTAATTTCTTTTCTCTGGTCCACTTGGAACCCAGGTTAGGACAACTTCCTCTCCGCAACCTCGAGCGATTTGACACGGGTTCCTCCACTGTCAGAGGAGCTAACTGGTTTGCTTGTAAACTTCCTCGACGAGTCGATCTCGTGATCGTTGGAGACGCAATAACCATTGTAGAGTAACCGTTAGATAGCTTCCTTGTCAAGTCTTGAGCATCCAGTCTTGGTTTCACTTGTCTTGAGTACTTCAGCTTGTCGTAAAGAGTTTCTTTTGGCATCTTTAAGGATGCGACGTCCTCTAACTCAAGTTTTCGTGCTCCTTTATTCTTGTGAGTTGCTATGTTCGGCAGTTTCAGAGGCGACGGCGACGATGAGGTCCCGTTGTCGCAGCTTACGCTAGTTCTTAAATCCTTAGCTAGAACGTGCTGGTCCAGGGCTGAATCAGAAGATGAACTCTTTAATTTGTCACTACCTTCACCGTTTACCTTGACCGAGGGGCAGGACGGGAGAGAACCTCTCCGAGAGTCTCGTCTTCGCTGAGAAGCGAGAAGCACGGATTGTTGTGCAGATAGCTCACGAAGTTTTTTCTCAAATTCCTTTTTATATCTATCCACGGAAGAATTAAGCTTCTTAGACTCTTGATAATTCATCATCCCTTTATATTTAAGAGATTGTGTGAGCTCTTTTCGCTCGGTTATTTGTTTTCGTCCGTTCATTTTGGACTTGTCTCTTCTTTGAACGTTCCACTGATAGTTTCGTGACGTTTGGTTCTCCTTCACATCTTGATATTAAACTTAATAAACCCTGCAGCCCTATGTATTCATCTGCCATCTAATTTTTGATTGCATGAGCGTCGTTTTAAGTGATAATTGTTATATCTTGGCCAACAAAAGATTAAGTTTATTTATTTTACGACACGTTCTTTACAACCCACTAATCGACATGCCACCAAACGACCTTTTATCGAGCGATTCGCTTTCCCATGCATATGATAATTCTTTGGTCAATTTCAATCAAAGTATGTCGTTGTTTAGTAAAACTCTGTTCAGCTCTGAAGGGAGGGCGAAACATGACGTAATACTGGAAGCTCGGCACTGCATTAAGGCCTTGAAATAGGATTTATTTTTTTGCATTTAAATGCAGTTGACATATGCTTGGAACTGCAATCGAACTTTAGTTTAATAAGCCTTAATTAATGACAGAATAAATAGAGTAAACTTTTCAGGAACTAATTAAATTTTTAAACAATCATGTGCTTTATAACATCGCAAAAATGTGATCGGCATCTCTTTGCTAATTTGTTCCCACTAAAGGGCCTTAAAGACTTCACATTGCGGTCCTTTTAAGAGGATATTAGCGACTAAGGGATATTAAAATAGCTTTTCAACTTGCAGCAAAGTTCCTAAAAATAGCTTCAGGGATCAAGCATATGTTGACTCACGTACTCTTTGAATGTGAAAGCCATGAAAGGGTCGGCATGTCTGTTTGAAGGAGGTTTGTATTGGCTGTCACGTGAGCAAGTCATCTAAGTTTACTTTGTAGCTATCGATTATCTCTTCTAGCAGCTCTCCATCAAAAAATAATTTGAACGTGTATTGAATTGTACATAAACTGGTTTTTAATTGCTGCACTCCAAAGGGCTCAGCTATGTTGCAATATCTTTAAGGCTAGACCAACATGATCTCGAACTCTCGAAGGTCTTTTTGATGATCCGCCACGGTTGCACCTCTGCCGATAATTTTAGTCTTAAATGTGCACAACCTGCACATCTTTCATTAAGGTTCCCAGGCAAGGAAGAAGTTAAGGTACTCGCTTCCGTGATAGTTAAAGTTCCGGTTTTAAGAGACGCTAAATCATTTGCTAAACATGTTAATCTTCCCAACCATTTTAAACATCACGTCATCGTTTGTGGCACAACAGCCCCAGTTGCGTAAGCCAAACCCTCCTGTCAAGAGTCAGTTTTACTGTGATGTGCTCATTCACTTTATCTGCAATTAATTATGAAAAATAGAGACATAACCACTCAAGCAAAATTACCGCTCATTCCAAGCTGCTCAACGGTTTTTTTTCAGAGTCAACTAATCCCCTGACCCATTCGTGAGGAAACGGCAGCTCACGTTTTCCAATCGTATCAATTATTCATAAGCTTTGTGTCTTCTTATTTGTCTGACGCTCATGCGTGTCTTCACGAGATTAAGATGATCGCATCAAATCAATAAATGTACGTGCAAATTTTGCTTCCATTTTTGCACATGCACACGCAACAAGTCTTCTCATGCAACTCGCATTGCTACCAAAAGTGCGTCACACCTCGTTTTGCCGTGTAAATCTGAGCGACTTTTAAAACCAATAGTTGGGCAAGGCAAGTTTCACCGTTTACGCACTTATACCACCCTGCACACCAATCTGTAGCAACGGCGTACACCAGTCCCCTGTAATAACCATGCACATGCCCCCCGGTAACAGCCCCATACACTTAACGACTGTCGACTCATGTACTAACCGTGCACTCCACCCCTTAGTGGCCATGGCAACGAACAAACCTTGCTCGTTTACGCTGCGGGCTAAAGCATGCCAAATTAAAAACAGCCATGCATTCCAACAAGTAGAAGAAACTTTCACTAACTTTATCCGGTCTTTATTCCACTTTTGAAAATGTATGTTGCGTAGCATACGAAACGTCAAGTTATTAAAATGCGTAAGTTTGATATGTTTATTACCGCTATTTGTGTTTTATTTCACTAACTTGCTTTGACTCTATCTTAAATGGCATCTATTTTCCAACTGCCCATAATTCACTCTGTTTGCCCCCCAAATTTTGCATAACTCCCAAGAGCATTTCACAACAATAGTTTATGCAAAATTTGGGAGGGCAAATTGAGTGAATTATGGGCAATTGGAAATTGGAGAATATGGCTCTAGTTTCCAGCGAGCCATTTTGTTAGGAACTCAAATAAGACTGGGCCGAGAGATACACGTCATTTTGCGACTCGTCATCTGTTGTACTTCTGCGACTGCGCACCTGTAACATCGAAACAAAATGGCCGCCGTCGATTTTGATCGTCTGAAGGTAATATGACGAGGATAATCTCTCTTGAACTGCTTACTATTGATCTCTATTTTTACTCACACGAAGTTTTATTCCAGGGACAAATAAACAAGGCACTGGGCGATGCCTCCGTGGTTGTTAAGTTCTCCTGTGCTACTGTGTGTTTGTTGTATGGCTTGAGTTTTCTTCCCTCTGTTTACTCATTGCTGGCTGTCACTCCTGGATTGTAAGATACCAATTTTTATTTAATTTATTTCTGTTTTAAAGCTCGTATTAGTAGGGAAGGTACTGTTAGATCAGATTGGTAGAATTTTTATTTTTAATGTGAATGTCACTTATCCAATGTTTGCACATTTTAACATAATAAAACACGACTGCAGTTTAAAACCTTCATGCTTGATCGACCTTTTGTTTATAGATAAACCTGAATACACGTATGTTGTAAAGTTCTACTTTAAAACAGTATATCACATCCTCGGCGTTTGTAAGCTATACACAATCTGAGATCCAAGTCAACATCTTTATTCCACTTTTTTAAANAAAAAAGGAGCATTAAATTTTAGGAGGGAGTGGGGGGAGGGAGGTGAAGACAGCCACCATTTTCTGGCACAATGGTGAAGTGTCCTAAGACTTCTGACTTGAACTGTAATTTCTATTAAGAGAAATTTGATCAACATACGTGGAGCAACCAATTTTACAGTTACTGTACAATTTAAGAATGCTGTTACTAACAGGAATGTAAAAAGCACCAATTGATTGTTAGCTTAAGCCTGTAAAAATAGATACTTGATTGATATCCTATTCAAAAGGAGAACCCCTGCTCCAAACCACTTCATGCTACAACCAGAGTAAAGCTCATGCACTGATTAGCCATTATTCTCTTCTAAATCCCTCGTATTGGGGCAGTGTTTTTAAACATGTTCACCACAACAGGTTTATTTCAAGATCAGAAAGAGTATTTGCTTTTATATTTAAACATGGCATTTTGCAAGAGTTCATGTTTGCATTGGCCTTGCTTATTTCGAACTGCAACGTGGATGTTTTTGCCTTCACTAAATAATAATAATAATAATAATAATAATAATAATAATAATAATAATAATGAATTTGTTGTGTGCAAATTCCATACGTATTTGTTCAAATGCGCATTACAATTAAGATACATACAATATAGTCACCAATAGTTGTGAGTTAAGAGCTTTCACCTACACCCATCAATTGTAAAGTGTTTTCTGACTCTTAGGTTTCTGGAGTTCAGTGGAATGACTGGAATTTTATCAGGAATGGTGGTTGCATTCAAACAGATCAAACCTGAGCAGGAAATAAGCTTATCTTCGCTTGGTCTTCGTGTAAAGGTTGGTTTAGATTAAGAATTAAATTTATACGATGGTTTCATCTCTTATAGTACTGCTGCCATTTGAATTTCCTAAAAGAAATTTCCCATAAAAACTTCTCTTGCCCATCAGGCAAGCAAAGGTCAGAATCCATTAGCGCAACTGGAATATTGACTAGCCCCAGCCTTTCAGTTATGATGTTCCTTGCATGCTGCGTAAGATATCTATTGCTTTTGTTTCAGCACTTTTTAGACAAACATTTTTTTCATTATTTTCAGCATGTCCCATCCATAGTTGTTCTGGTGTACAGCATTCTTTGCATTGTGGGCATTCTTCCCATCATCCTTCTGGTCATGGTTCTATCAGGGACTCTGATTGGCTGGGTTTACTTGAGGTTTTACCAGCCACGTGGCAAAGGAGTCAAGGGAGACCTAAGTGAAAGTTTCTCTTGCGCTAGTTTCTTTCCAGAAGTAGCACAGTAAGTGACCTGTGGTACATTGTTCATATTAATGTATATTTGCCAAGAGTACGATATTCTGGAATTGTACATGAATGTGCAGTTCCAGAAAATATCCACACTCCCCCCACAGAAGGGATTGGAACTTCCTGGGGGTGGGGGATTCTGAAAGACGAAAAACCAAAAAAAGTTCAGAGAAATGTTTGATGCTTAATTGGAATTTTCAGAGGGGTGGGGGTTAGACAAAATCCCTTCCATGGGGGAGGTATGGATATTTTCTGGAACTACACAATGAGATTTGGCAAAATTTTTGCTGAGGCTGTAAATGTCACAAGCAGCATTCCACACCCTTTTCACTTCTTCATTTACTTTCTGCAGTTAGACAAGGGACTATTTGGCAGGACATTCTTAACTTATAATAGTCTAGATTCTGGGTGCTTTCTTTATTTCACTCCTTTGTGATTAAAGAGAGACCTGTAAATGACCTTGCATCTTTCCTACTGGCTTGTGTGTGATTCTATCAATTTCATAAAGCTAATTGTCAGGAAGGCTGTCTTAAACTCAACTGAATGACATCTCTGTTGCTTTTTTAACTCAGGGCTCCAGTAAGCACGCTGTCAACAATTGTATTCAATACTCTGGTTCGTCTGAAAGTGTGCCATAAGCCCGTCCGAACATATGATGTAGGAGCGCCATCAGCAATTACAATCAGCCTGCCAGGGATGGATCCTGCTGATGCTGAGAGAAGAAGGTAGACTAAGAGTGTAGTTCTTTGAGTCAGCCACTTCCCAGGTTCACATCTTTCGTCATAAATTTTCTGTCTTACACTCTAAAACAACAACTTTCAGTATAAAAATTAATAAGCATGGCCTGGCCATTCTTACACTTAAGAGATCTTTATAAATGTGTTTGCTTTTCTGCATGTAAAGGCAAATTCTGAGGAAATCTGTGAAGATAAATCTTTTCCTATCAACAACAGCAACAACTTTATTCGCTCTTGTACTTGACAACAATGTTACAGTATATATATGTAACTAACACACACAGCATTTTATTCTAGTTTCAAGGCTAAATATCTCAGGAAAATGCTTGGCTACCCCTAGTTTCCAATAGTAATATTAAAAATATTTCTGTTTCTTTGATTAGACAAAAGGCATTGAAAGCCCTAAATGAGAGGCTTCAAAAACTGGAACAAACTACAAGCTGGCCTACTCTAGATGGGCCAGAGGGAAAAGACAGTCCCCAGAGTCCAAGTGCGGTGGATGAGATGCCAGAAATAGTGGTTGATCAGGGTACGACGAAAAGGACTGAGGGCATACCAACTAGCTCCAGTGTTCCTACGTAACAGAGGCACTGTGTGCAGCTTAGTCCTGCTTGAAGAATAAGCAAGTCAATGGTAACGCTGTAAGACTTCTTGATCAGAGAAGAGCCTGAGTGCAAATTTACTCTTAAGTATAAAATTATGCTTATGCTTATGCGCTAGTGACAACCAGCCATAAGCTTACAACATGTATGTACTGGGGTTAGGCTCTGTCAGATATTTTGAACAACTGTGCCATATATCAAGTCTTTTGATATTGGTCCAGCTCAGTTTTATACATGTACAGACACCCAACTGACAGCAGACAGTGAAATTTGTTAATCTGGCACCACTTAGCCACCACACTAAAGTGGGGTGCTCATACATGTATAAAAGGGTTCTCAAATAGGAAAAGTACGGACTAAGCTTTTTTTCAGGCAAGAAATGTAGCTTTTGTAGTGAGACAGTCGTATGTTGAATGTAGTGTTACATGTTTTATTTATATTGTTTAAAGGAGCTTAGTCACGGTTTTGCGCATATTGAAAGGTTTAGCCTCAATTTTTTAAATTCGTCGTTTGTAATCCGTGTTAATCTTCTCCATCCTTAGCCATCCTTGTTCCTTTATGGTTTATCATTATGTCTTTGGTGTCTTTCTATCTCATTAAACTGTTATTTTCAGGTTTCCTACCATTTAAAGGTAATTTTTTGTATGTGGCCAAAATAACTCAAAATACCGTGACTGAGCTCCTTCAAAAGCGGTAACTGAAACCTAAGTATCCTTAAGCTTCGTCTACACGAGCAATTTTTATGTGACAAATATATTTGATCTTGTAGATAGCGCAATAAATATTTGTCAGCAATTCAAAGTTTAGTGCGCCAGTAATGACTTTGGACAGCAGAGATACGCAGAAACAAGACGCGACTGCTTAGTCGCCCCCGCATTCCCCGCATTTTATGTGACGACTCGTCTACACGAGCAATTTTTCGTATGTGACAACTTTGATTTGTCACATAAAAGCTAACACGCAAGCTTTTAAGCAAATGTATTTGGCACATAAAAATTGGCCAATTCTCCTCATCGACACGGACAAATAAGAATTGTCACATGAAAATTGTCGTATAAAAATTGCTCTTGTAGACGAGGCTTAATACTCGTTTCTCTTGCGTGTTGAATTTTCGTGAATGACTTGCAAAATGGAAAAAAAAAAATCAAACCCTTGCGGTATTTGCTAAGCTTTCCCCCTCTCCCTCTTCACAAGTGATGATGTCTCATCACTTGAATTCGAACATGTGCTTGTGTTGTATTTGTTAACAGAGTTTTAACATTAGGCTTATAAAATTGGTGAGTAAACTTATAAAGTAAACGGGAATGACGGAATAAGAAAATGGTGTTAATTTTGTCAAAGGGTATCAGATGTAAATATGTATACTGTACATTGGAAGATACGAGAAGACGAAATGTCATGTTTTTAGTCTGCATAAAGAATTATTGTAGTTGTAGTTGGGAGA